AGAGGAAGGCAACCTGAACATATATAATTATCCTCATTTTGTAGATAAAGACACAAAGCTCAGACAAGTTAAAAGACTTGTCCAAAATCAAATACCTAAGTAAACGGTAGCTTGGCGGCTTGATCGCAGAATTTCTGATTCTACATCCAGAGTTCCAATGGGCAGAATTAGTGAGGCTCGGTGGAAACAGGATTAATTCTAGTTCTTCTCCAATTTTATATTTTGATTACAACTTTAAGCACCCGCCCCGCCACAATACACACACACACACACACACACACACACACACACACACACACACACACATGCAATGCAACCTACCCCTTTTCCGAGTTTTGAACCGCTGGCCTGTTAGCACTGGCTTCTGATGCTTATTCATAAAATTTCTGAAAACAAAGAAAATAAAGATTATGCAATTCAAATAAGCAGTTCATATAAAAACATATGGCTAATAAGCTTATGTTCAACCTTACCCATACTGAACATACTTTTCAAAATGAGATATAATTTTAACAATTGAACTAGCAAAATGTTCAAAGTTTAATAATATCTAGTGTTGACAAAAGACGTAGGGGAAAAAAAAACAGACATAAATTTTGGATAAACTCCATGCAATACTTTTGAGAAGCATTTGGTGAATATCTATAAATATTTACATGTGCATAACCTGTGGTCCAGCAATGGCTTTACTAGAAAAAAAAATTTTTTAAGTAAAGTTTGTTGGGGTTACAATTAGGAATTTATTTTACAATTATAGCCACTCAAGTATGCAAATATACCTATGTGTGTTGTGTGTGTGTGCGCGCATAGGATTTAGTTGCAGCATAGTTAAATGCATTAAAAAAAAAAAGGAACGTTAACCACCCATAAACATGAGTCTGATTAAATAAGTAATAATAAGCCACCGAAGGCAACGTTATGAAGCTTTACAAAAGACTGAATTAGATCTAAGTGCACTACAAATCTGCCCTGGCTTCATTCTGATCAAGTTTCCCACCTCTGCCTCACTTCCCATCGCTCACTGTGCTCAGCTACACTGCACTTTCTTCCCAGCGTGCCAGAGAAGGTCACCTCTCTTCTGGGAAGACCTTCTCCATCCATTCACCCGGCTTACTCTCTGCACCAACTCAAATGCCTCCTTTTCAAAGAGGCCTTCCCTGACCATCCCAACTGATGGGGCCCTTTGTCTCTGTTCTGTCTCTGCCTCTCTTACTTAGCTTTATTTCTCTGCAGAACGCTTAGCAGTCCCTGCCATTTTACTATTCTCTGTTTGCCTATGGTCTATTCCCCGCATGAGAGTGTCAACTCCATGTGGGTGGGGGACTTTTTAGGTTTTACTCAATACTCTGTCTTTAGCACCTAACACAAAACCGAGTAAAGAGTAAGCATTTAATAAATCATTGTCAAGTAAGCTGGGGCACTGATGTGGAAAGATGATTGAGGCATATTCTTGAGGGAAAAAAGCAAGTTGAGTAAGAGTGTAAAACAATTTTTTGGTTAAAAAGGGGTATACATAATATCTGTTTTTCCATGCAAGCAAAATTTCAGAAAGATGCCTGTTTACCTCAGAGGGTGGCAATTTGGGTATATTATATTCTTCCATTGGATTTTATATACAATTAAAAATATAATAAATTATCTTTGAAAAAAGTGAAAAACCTGCTCTGTAAGACATTTTACAAACTGAGAATAAGTTCACTGGCATAAATATTACAATCTAAAAATATGTCTAGAAGGCCTAAATTATGACCAAACAATTAAAATAATGTCAAACAAATAACCTCTCAAAATTTTTAAAAAATTGTGACTTGAAAATGTCTAGATTTTCTCCATTACACACACCCTTAAACAAACAAGAAAATCTGTGGTATTCAAGTAAACTATTTAATTATGTCTCAAAGTTTAAAAAACAAATCCTCAAGAACATAGAAAATTACTTAGTATTTTACCAAAACTTTCCTCCCATCCCATGAAAGAAGAGAACTTTCTATCCTCACATAGAAAGTGATCTGTTTATCCCTGAAAACTTCAATCATAATTAAAAAACGAAACTAATTAAACATAGAGTGACAAAGTCCAAAAGTAATTGCTTGCTTGTATGGTTTAAGGGGAGAGAATTTTTATCAATCCTGTAAAGTGAACTTGATGCATCAATACTTTGAGATATAAAAGTGACTAAGCCAGATTCCATGCTCTCAAAAAACAGAGCCTATGGAGATANTTCAGTTATTGAATATTTCATTTAGCTGAGTATAACAATGGCCCCAGGGACAAATTTTCATCCTTTTAGATTCCCACAAACCACACTAGAAAACATAATTTCTTTGGAGAAAATATAAATAAGGAGTGCATATTTCATAAAGCTAAGATAGTCAGAATGGAGTTCCGGATGATGCATTCTACCATAATGTTGAATTCTGATGTCAAGCAGTAAGAAATACATTTTTGTGCCAACTTGCACATGCAAAAGCATTAGCTTTGCTCGGAAATAGTTTCAAACTGCAGACAGATCTTCAGAAGACAGCCTATCAGAATGACCTTGAAATAGCCTCCCATTTTTTCTTCAGCTTTATAAAACTGCCGAACATTTATCTGAAGTCAGCCTCATCATAACAGCAAAAGAAAAGCCAAAGCATAATAAATCATCAGGCGGCAATCCACGATTACAAAGAGTAGAAAAGGAGGTTGACTCCATTTTTTAAAAAATTTTTTTCCCAGTCAGCAGTCTGGCACAAAACGGTTCAAGTGCTGCTTAAATCTCCTACAGAGCTGGGTTATGTAAATCTAGATCAACTGATAAATGATATACAGCAGATTTTGGGGTAGCTCTCTCTGAAGGCTCCAGCCCCAAAAAAGCACAGGCATAATCTTGCCCACCAAATGAATCACAGGCAACAGCTCAGAATTATTAGAGAAGACCTTTCCGGCTCAAAACGAAAGGCTGACTGGAAGGCCAGTATACTCGTTGAATCATGTCAGCTGTTGTGCAACCCACCCTTGGGCCTGCTCTTGGCGTGGGAGCTCGGCTACTGTGAATCAGCGTCATACTAATAAAGATGCTTGAGGTGGAGACCCAGGCCTGAGATTAACACATTCCCTCAGCGGGCAGGTGATGGCAAACCTTTCCGCACCTCACAGTTGGGCATATTATTAAATATTCTCTCATTAGTAGGCCCAACAACAGCTCAACTCTAATCAGTTTCTGAACTATATTGTTCCTTACTGATTAAGTCCTTTTGAAATCAACTATGATGGGTTTTTTTTTACAGTCATTTTCCACCCCCAAAGACTGCTTTAAACAGTCAGACAATGAATGCATGTTGGTTGTAGCACCTTGTCTTGGTACCAGCTTCCAGATTTCAATGGAGAGATGTGGTGCGGACACTACTAAGAGGACTTAGTAGAGGGTGGTGGCTCAAGCTATTCTTGTACTTAGCTTATGGGGATGAGCACGGGATTGAAAAAAAAAAAAAAGAAAGAAGGAGAGTACAAAACAGAAATATTGCATAAAATAACCATTTTGGTACTTTTTTAAAACTTGCAATTTTTTAGGAGGAACATGCAGGAAGCTTTCCAGCAGGCAGCATTTACAGTTAAAGCTAACC